CAAACTGTGTAATTTAGCATAAATGATCTCAATTAAGCTTCTCTTGAACCTGAATGATGTTTACCATGCCTTGATAATCATCCAAGCTTCGATTTACTTGTTGCATGTTGTTATCAACCCAGATCTGCTCAATAAGGCCATTTAAAGCTTTTCGCATCTTCCTAACTCTAGCTCTTGTGATTGGACCTCCTAGAATGCGTGATTTGACCTCCTGGAATGTGTGATTTGACCTCCTAGAATGTGTAATGGATCTCTTGACGTGGTACAGGTGGGGTCATCTTGATTCCCATCATTCCCTCTCTCCTCAAAAGGATTTGTCCTCAAATTGTCATCTACATCAAAAGGAGAAAGATCAGAAACATTAAAATTAGCACTAACATCATACTCACCAGGAAGCTCCAACTTGTATGCATTGTAATTTATCCTTGCAATCACTTGAAATGGTTGATTGCCTCTTGGTTGCAACTTAGAACGCCTTTGTGCTGGGAATCGCTCCTTCCACATATGCACCCAAACCCAATATCCAGGTTCAAACACAACTTTCTTGCGCCCTTTGTTGGCTTGATTTGCATATTGCTCAATTCGTCGTTCTATGTTTTGTCGCACCCTCTCATGTAGCTGCTTAACCACTTCAGCTTTCTTTTTCCCATCCAAACTAGCTCATTCATCAATGGGTAATGGCAATAAATCCAAAGGGGTGAGTGGATTAAAACCATACACAACTTCAAATGGTGAACAGTTAGTTGTTGAATGGACACTCCGATTATAAGCAAATTCAACATGCGGCAAACATTCTTCCCAATTCTTCAATTTTTTTGAATAATAGAATGCAATAAGGCTGACAAACGTCCTATTAACTACTTCTGTTTGTCCATCAGTTTGCGGATGACAAGTAGAAGCTTAGTTCCCAACTTTCCTGATGGGAATCAAGACGACAGCATATCTACTATGTCATGTGATCCATTACACACCCAAGGAGGTCCAGTCACGCGAGCTAGAGCTAAGAAGATGCGTGAAGCTTTAAATGGCCTTATTGAGTAGATCTGGGTTGAAAACAACATACAACAAGCAAATCGAAGCTTGGATGATTATCAAGGCATGATAAACATCATTCAGGTTCAAGAGAAGCTTAATTGAGGTCATTTATGCTAAATTACACATTTTGCGTCAATCTCGCAATTCTGTCGCAATTTGTAACAAATTGATATTTCATGTTACTTTAGGCTACTTTTAGTGATTTTCACGTTTTTTATATTATTTTGGGCTGAACATTCATTTATTTAAGGCCCAATTCGTGGTTATTATGATTAGGGCTTAGGGTGTTAGTTTCCTATTCTGATTAGAATTAATTTTCCCTATTTAAAGGGGCTTGTAACCCTAATTGAGGGAGGCTATTGAATCTGAGATTTTGAGAGACTTTTTCTCTTTGGTTCGTTTCAGAACTTTATAGAACTTATCAAGATTATTCTTGTGGTGTTTTAACCTGACTTATCATTCTCGTTCTTAATCGTTTGAGGGTGTGGCGTCAACCAACTTTATACCTCTGGTTCTTGTTGCGTCATAGACAACGGGTCAAGATTTTTACCTTTGGTTCTTGTTGCGACATAAACAATGGGTCAAGGTCCTATTATAAATTTGATTTAGCTTTCCTGGAGTTTTAGAAATCCCTTGTCGTGCTGTGGGTCTCATTGTTCTTTTTGGGGTTCTCATCATCTATGAAAGCTCCATACTTCACCTATACATGTGGGACTCATCCATTCTTAAATTGCTCGGACTTTTCTTCATCAACCTGTATTACTTGTGCATTAACAACAAAACCAAGAAATACAAGCCTATTGGTGCAAAAAGTGCATTTCTTCAAGTTAGCAAATAGCTTTTCCTTTCTAAGCACATCCAAAACTAATTTTAAATGCACAACATGTTCTTCCAAGTTTTTGCTATGAATGAGAATATCATCAAAATAAACAACAAACCTGCCTATGAATGCACGCAAAATATGATTCATCAATCTCATAAATGTGCTTGGCGCATTAGTTAAACCAAAAGAAAAGGCATGACTAACCACTCATAAAATCCATGTTTTGTCTTAAAGATTGTTTTCCATTCATCTCCCTCTTTCATGCGAATTTGATGATACCCACTTTTGAAATCAATTTTTGAAAATACACAAGCACCATGCAACTAATCTAACATGTCATCTAAGCAAGGAATAGGATCTCAATACTTTACCGTAATGTTGTTGATGGCTTGACAATCAACACACATCCTCCAAGTCCCATCTTTCTTAGGCATAAGTAGAACAGGAATAGCACATGGGCTCATGCTTTCCCTCACGTACCCCTTCTCCATTAATTCACTTATTTGCCTCTGAAGCTCCTTTGTCTCCTCGAGGTTGCTTCTATAGGCTGCCCGGTTTGGAATTGTCACACCAGGTACAAAATCAATTTGATGTTCAATCCCTTGTATTGGAGGTAATCTAGGCGGCGTTTCTTCGGGAAATACATCCTCGTAATCCTGCAAAAGAGAGATAACACTACTTAGCAAATTTCTGGCAAGATCATCACTGCACAAAAATGCCTCTTTGTACAGAAGTATTATAAGGGGCTATTGTAAATGTAAAGCTCTCTTGATCTCACTTTTTTTTTTCAATGAAACAATGTTGTTCCTCTCTTAAACTCACTAAAGCTAAATCTGCTTTCTTTTTTTCTCTCTCAATTTTTTGGCCTCTCTCTCTTTTTCTCTTGAATTTCCACTTCTATCTTTTCTCACACTCTCTCTTTTTTGCTCATTCTTTTGATCTCTCTCTTTTTAAAGCTTCACTTGATCCTTATACATCTGTTGGGGTGTCAAGGGTACAAGAGTGATTGGACGCTGATTGAGTACAAAAGAGTATTTGTTGGTAAACCCATCATGCTTGACTCATCGATCAAATTGCCATGGTCGCCCTAACAACAAGTGCCCAGCCTGCATTGGAACGACATCACAAAGTACCTGATCTTTGTATTTTTCAATTCGAAATGCAACTAACACCTATTTGATTACCTCTACCTTGCCGCTATCATTTAACCATTGCAACTTGTAAAGGAGTAGGGTGTCTCGGTGTGGGCAATCCTAATTTTTCCACCATGGTTGTGCTAGCAATGTTAGTACAACTGCCACCATCAATAATCACACTGCATACCTTATCTTTGACATATCACCTAGTGTGAAAGATGTTCTCCCATTGCACTTCATCCACATCCTTTGCTTGCACACTTAAAGCCTTCCTTGCCACCAACAAAACTCCATGTATAGCAAACTCCTCCTCATAAGTTCCCTCTAATGGTGGCATTTCATCAGTGTCAGAATCTTTGTCTTCAATCACAATTTCACCACTGTCTCGCATCACCATAACCCACTTGTTTGGACATTGACTCACTATGTGACCCTTGCCTTGACATTTAAAGCACTTAATATCATGATTTCGAGAGTAGAAGTGTCGATTTTACGTTGAGATTCGCGGTTGGTGTTCTCAGTCTTATGCTCAATTGGTGCTTGAGAGTTGAGGACTTTTGTGGCTTGTCCTCCATTCTAGAAGAACTTGGTTTCCAAGGATTAGACCCTGGGTTATGGCCAGCACATGTACCTCCCCTTTTCTTGAGCTGTTGTTCTATGATGATGGCCATGTGCACCATGTCTCTAGCTCCACATAATGTTGCATCTCCACCCGGTCATGGATGTCTAGATTCAATCCTTGCAAAAATCTCGCCATGGTTGCCTCTCGGTCTTCTTCTACATTTGCTCTAATCATGGCTTTCTCCATCTCTTGATAATACTCTTCCATACTCCGATGTCCTTGCCTAAGCCCTTGCAACTTTTTGTACAATTTTCGGTAATAATGGCTGGGCACAAATCGCTTCCTCATCACTGCCATCGTCTCTTCCCATGTTTCAATGGGATGCTCCCAGTTTTGACACCTATTCATGACCAACTAATCCCACCAAACAAGAGCATAGTCGGAAACTTCACTGGCTGCTAGTCTCACCTTCTTAAGCTCGGAATAATTGTGGCAACCAAAGACTAACTCCACCTTCCTTTCCCACTCAAGATAGGCTTCTGGATCTAGTTTTCCTTGGAATGGTAGAATCTTCATCTTGATGTTGCCCAAACTATTGTCCTCCTGATTCCTAGCTTCTCTATTCCCATTCCCATGCCTAAACCTACCCTAGTTCAATGGTGGCTCATTCAACTCTTCCAACTCATCTTCTTCTTCTATGTCGCCCTAATATTCTCTTTGTTGCATCTACCAAGGTGGTGGTTGAGCGGGAGAACTTTGTTGCTGCCTCTTATTCTCCAATTGCAACATTTCCAATTGCTCTTGCATGGGTTCCATTAATCTATTCACCATCCGTTGCACCTTTCCCAATATCGGCTGCACCTGTAGGTTTGAAAGGGTTTGTTGTGGAAGTTCTTCACTCGAGTTTTCTTCTTGGTTGCGTGACATGTTTGTAATCTACAAAATGGGGTTAGAAATAATATGGAAAAGACCTCACCACACTACCTCATGTGTTTCACTCAAAAAAATATGTATCACTCAATTTCGCTTGTGTTTCACAAAATTGGCTTTTACCCTCTAATCTGCTCACCACTCTTGCCTTTTTTCCACTTGTGAATTCTCTTTCAGTTCTTTCAAACTAATAAAACAATATTCAAAATTCCCAATAGCAATTCACTAGAAACTTACCAACCAAATTTCGAGTTTTAAATGGAAGACGACTATGAACAGGTACCGACTAGATTTTGGGATTCACAAAAAACACAAAAATTTTGGACAAAATTTTGCACTTTGGGGTAAAGTCAGATTAAGACTCGTAGATATTAGAACAATGGAACGAAACAATAAAATAATAATAATAAAAAAAAAAAGCAAGAAAGATAGATCAATTTGACTATTCCTAGTAGGAATTGGATTGACAAATCCTTAAGACAATAGGATTCCTAACTTAGGAAAAAGAAACAAACAAAACTGTTATCTCCTAATTTGAATAGAAACTCAAGGAGAATTTTCAACTCCTTATTGTAGTAGAATTCCTTCTTCTTTAAGGATTTGATCACAGATTTCTTCTCAATATAAGGAATTCCAACCACAAAATTATGTTGCTTACTTCCTCTCTCTCTTTTTTTTTTCCTTTTTTTTCTTTTTTCTTTTTTTCTTATTTTTGTGCTTTCCTCTATGTTTCTTTTGTAAACCAGCAACACAAATAGAGTTGCAATCAACAAGGTGATGAGAACCCCAAAGAGAACAATGAGACCCACAACACGACAAGGGATTTCCAAACTCCAGGAAAGCTAAATCAGGTTTATAATAGGACCTTGACCCATTGTTTATGACGCAACAAGAACCAAAGGTAAAAACCTTGACCCATTGTTTATGACGCAACAAGAACCAGAGGTATAAAGTTGGTTGATGCCACACCCTTGAACGATTAAGAACGAGAATGATAAGTCAGGTTAGAACGCCACAAGAATAATCTTGATAAGTTCTGTAAAGTTCTGAAATGAACCAAAGAGAAAAGTCTCTTAAAATCTCAGATTCAATCACCTCCTCAATTAGGGTTACAAGCCCCTTTAAATAGGGAAAAGGAATTCTAATCAAAATAGGAAACTAACACCCTAAGCCCTAATCATAATAACCCCTAATCATAATAACCACGAATTGAGCCTTAAATAAATGAATGTTCAGCCCAAAATAATATAAAAAACATGAAAATCACTAAAAGTAGCCTAAAGTAACATGAAATATCAGTTTGTTACAAATTGCGACAGAATTGCGAGATTGACGCAAACTCTGTAATTTAGCATAAATGACTTCAATTAAGCTTCTCTTGAACCTGAATGATGTTTATCATGCCTTGATAATCATCCAAGCTTCGATTTGCTTGTTGTATGTTGTTTTCAACCCATATCTGCTCAATAAGGCCATTTAAAGCTTCACGCATCTTCTTAGCTCTAGCTCGCGTGACTAGACCTCCTTGGGTGTGTAATGGATCACATGACGTGGTAGATATGTTGTCGTCTTGATTCCCATCACAAGGGCAAGAACGACACTGAATTTTTTTTTTATAATAAAAAAAAATTGAAAGTTAAAGATACGCAAACCTAATTTAGAACCTGGCTTTGATACCAAACTAATACAAATTACACCAACCTGTGACAAAACCCATAAACAAGACAAGGCACCAAGACCGCTTCTAAGATAAGTTTGAGAGGATGGAACCGTGACCTATTACCTATGATGAGATAAGAACCTTGGTATGGAGAAGATGCCACAATCAACTATGGAAGGGTTGATTGATAAGTCGAGGATGAACGCCACAGATAATTCTGATAAGTTCATAAAGTTGTTCAAAGAACTAGAGACAATTTGTTCTCACAATGTTGATGAATAATGATCTGTTTTACAATTAGGGTTGTAGCCCTATAAATAGCTAAAACTAATCCTAACCAAAATAGGAAACTAACAAACTAGGTCCTAACCCTAATAACCACAAATTTGGGCTTCAACTAAATGAATGTTTAGCCCAAATAACACAACAAACATAAAAATAAGCTAAAATAACCTAACAACATTGTGAAATATTAGTTTACAACTAACTGTGGCAAATTTGACACAAAACTATGTTATTTAACCCAAGAAAGAAAAACTTGGCATGCAAGTCAAAACCCAAAAAGGAAAGTAATAAATTTGAGCCAGAATGCTTGCTGAGTTCATGCCCAAAGTTCATGACCATTACTTGCAAAGATTAGGTTTGGCTTTGACAGAGTCATCTAGAACTTTGATTAGGCTGATGTAATTCTGAGGCTCACATGGACTTCCCTCAATGGGCCTCCATGAATTTGCTTGAGTCCATATTTCTTGAATAAGCTCATTAAGTGCTTTCTTGAACTTCTTAGCTCAAGCCCTTGTAACTGGTACAACGGGAACTTGAATTGAATCCTTTAAAGTCAAACTTGGATTTACATCCTATCCAAATAATAATGAAATATGGTACCATGATTTGCAAGAGATCTAAATTTGGAGCTTCAATTAAGGGTGAAGAAAGATATAAGTGCACCTCACAATTTTCTATGTAAAATATAGTTATATACTTTAAAATTTGGGGCTGGTTTCAATTTCTTAATTTCTCCCTTCCCCTTTCTTTTTATGCAAATTGAATTTAAAAAAAAAAAAATGTGAACATGGAAAGACAAGAATGCAAAGGTTTGAAAGTTCTTGGACCCAATTTAAAATAGGAATGCAAGGGTTTGAAAGTTCTTGAACCCCATTTAAAATAGATTGGAACTTGTAAGAACTGAATTAAGTTCCTTTTAGATCAAGAGGAACCAAATTGAAAGGACTGAAAATGTAAGGACCAGATTGCTCGAAATTCAAATTTCAAGGGTAAAATGACTTTCTTTTTGAAGTGTCATAATTTGATTTTTGATTTTTGATTTTTTATTTTTTTGAATGTTAGACCATTGACATGTCCACGGTTAATCTTTGAAAAGGATCAATTAAAACGAAATAATTTACACTATTTAATTGAAATCATTTATTCATTAATCGAAATTTTTTTATAAAATATTTTTTGGTTTATTTTTTTAAGCTTAAATTATCAATTTGGTCCCTTAATTTTTAGATTTGTATCAAAATTATCTCCCAACTTTGAAAGGTACTAAAATTATCCCTAAACTTTAATTTTTCGTATTGAAGTGTCCTCAAAATTTGAAAATAGTATTAATTTAGTATTTAAACTTTGAAGACAAGTACTAATTTAGTTTTTAAAGCTTTGATTATAAATACTAATTTAGTTTTTTAACTTTAGTTATATATTAATCTGATATATAAATAAAAATATTATTATGGTAACATATAATTATTTGATTTTATACATCATTAGTATTTTAAAAAAGAATTGAGTTGTGGTAAAATAATAAGTTACATAACATTTGTGTTAATAGAACTATTTTGGTATTAAAAATTAAAGTTTAGAGACAATTTTGGTGTTTTTCGAAGTTGAGGGACAACATTGATATAAATCTGAAAGTTGAGGGACCAAATGTGTATTTAAACCTTTTTCAAATGGGTTTGGCTTGACCTAGGAAAGATGACCAGTTGGGACTTGAAAGAACCGAACAGGTCTGTTCTTCACCAATGAAAAACAAACCCGGAATGCCCATCAGAACGACGGCCGAAGATGCAGAAATGAACCATAATAAAAACAAAATCATACAACCACAGAAATGACTTGAAATTCGTGCATGATAACATCATTAACATGAGAATTTCATTAACAAAATCAAAGTGCCAATACATTAAACACTCATCTATCACATCTAGAGGCACAGGGCAGCGGAATTGATAGCCTTCCAGATACACCATTTCGGAGTAGTCCCGAAGGCCAACCGTTGCAAGCCACCTTATGCTTTCGGATAGGATGTGTACCTAGATCCAAAGCAGTGAACGAAAGAATAGAGGTGCCGGAAGCTATGCTGGAATGAGCCGGAATCTGCCTTCTCCGATTTCTCTCTCTGCCGCCGTCGGCTACCACTCTCTCCTTTTTTTTTCCGGTCGGTTGAACTCTTTCCAAAAAACTCCCCCGCTCTCAAATCTTCCTAAGTCCCGCTATTTATACAAGAAAAATCCCCAAAACCCTAGGCTTTTCTCACCTTCTATTAATCCTTATCGTCCGATTCCTTCTCTTTCATCTTCACGTTTGCTTGTGAGGGGACAAAATTGACCCCTTTCTGCAGAACAAGGCTATCATTGCAGAGGCGTGGAGGGGAACATCGGAGCTTGTTGTGCTAATTGCATGTGGCTAGATACGTGCCCTTGTCTGAGTTCGTTAGGGGTTGTGAAGGAAACAGTGGTTTAAGCCCTTGTTTGGATAGAAAATAGTAAAGGGAAGGGAAGGGAGGGGAATGGAGGAAAATAAAAGGACATGGAGGGGGAGGAAAAGAAAGGGAAGGGAAGAAAATAGAAGGAAATGATTTGTGTTAATTTTGTTTGAATAAATAAAAATGAGGAAGGGAAAAGGAAGGAAAGGATTGTATTATTTTATATTTGAATAATTAAAGTAAAAGGAAGGGAAGGAAGGGAAAGATTTAAATTAATTTTAAATTTATAAATTTATCTTTTAAACTTGTAATGGAGAAGAGAAGGATATAATAAAAAAATTAAGGTTAATTTTGTAATTATATTTAATTTAATCTAAACAGTCACCCAAATCCCTCCCAAACCCCCTAAATCGGACGGATTGCAAATCTGCAGATTTGAGGGTGGTTGGAGGGAGTCCGAATCACTCCATCTCCCTCCCCCTCTGCCTCTTTGGAAACCCAAACAGGAGAAAAGAGACAGCCTCCCCTCGCTCCCCCTCCCTTGCCATCCGTCCCCATCCCTTCCCCTACCTCTCCGTCCGACACCTCCAATCCAAACAATACCTAAAGAGAGAAACAGAGAGTCGCAGAACGGGGAAGGTGGCCGCCCCCGTTTCTGCCTTCTCTTCTTCATTTTCTCTTCTTCTTCTTCTTTTTCTTCTTCATTTTTTTTTAATATATATATATATATAGTTTTTTTTAGAGTTGGACAAAAGGGGGCTTGTGCATTTTTAAATGACTGTTGGACCAGGTTTGGGAGATGGCTGGAAACGGGCTTTCTTGTTGGCATTTGGTGGGCTTTAAGACAATTTGGGTTTACTTTGTAAGCTTGAACACAATTGAATCAACTTCTGCACAAGAGTCCGATTTTGTCATTTTTCTCAAAATTCTAACCGAACATTATTCATTTTGACGACCAATCCCTAAAACATAAAAATAAATTACATTAAAATAATTTTAAGGCAAAAATAAAATTTTTTAATTTATTCATTATATAATTTAAAATTTAAATATATATTGTAAAAATTTGAGTTATGACATATGGTATATGTCAACATAAACAAAAAAAATAAAATTAAAAATTATATCAAATAATCATATTAATAATGGAAGTAACCATGCTCTTTAAAGCCCTTGCAATTTTCTTTTTTTTCTCAACAACTTTCAAGACCAACAAAACTTTCCACTAAAAATTTTCCTTTCTAGACATTGATAA